AAACTTGTCCTGTCTCCTCCGTGGCAGCCCTGGTGCGTGAAACCAGCGTTCCTGACACTGATGTCCTGTGGGTGGCCCCTTCCTGCCCACCAACTCCAGGGAGCCACGTGAGATGAGGTGCTGCGCTGGAGTGGGTAACTGGATTCCCCATCATCCTGTTTTTCCTGGAGCGGTCTGCACTGGTTTTGTGGCCTGGAGAGACATTCGGAGTCCTCACCCCAGAGGCGACTAGATCCAGGTTTTAGATAATTGCCCTGACAGCAGTTTGGAGGATGGACAGTCACTGACCTTTGAAGGCCATTTCGATGACTAAATGGGGGTCTCATAGGTCATGCCAGCTGGATAGTCCACGTGCACCGGCGCTGTTAACAAGGCATGACTCACCCGGTTTTGCCCAATTGTGCAATGAGGAAGTTGGGTCTCAGAGAGGCTGCATAATTTGTCTCATGTCAAGAATTTTGTAAATGGCAAAACATGGACTTGCCAGAGGAGGTCCCAGCATAACCCTTCACTTCGTCCTCAGCCCCGCTCCTCCACCCTGTCTCTCGAGTGGTTCTCCGTAGGTGTAGGGGTGGGTTTATCTGGGAATGGCCTTCCTCTCAGTATCTTCCTGACACATACTTAACATTCAGTGGATATTTATTAATAAAATATTGTCAAACCCTTCTGATGGATTCACCTCGATTCCTGGGAAACACTCTCTTTCTCTAAAACGAAAACGAGGCCTTGTAGCATATCCTAGATTCACACTTGAGGAAGAGGACCTGTCTGGCCGGGGGTCTGCAGCAGTTTCTGGAGCACCCCACCAGGCAGGTTTTGCCTCCATGACTGACGGCTGTGTCACAAGGCTGGTAGCATGTTTTTGAGGGGGCCCCCTCCAACAGCTGGTTCCTCCATACCATCCCCTTCTATTTAAGACAGTCTCATGTTTCCCCCTCTTTAAACCTTTTATCTTTATTTATTTTCATTACAAATATAGACGATTATAATACGAGCTTATTACCACCGGTATGAATGGTGCAGATTCGTGGATTTCCCCAGGACATTTCTCACGTGCATATTTAGCTGGAGGAAGAGAAACCGCAGCTTCTTGTTCATCACCAACCACCAGCGAGGATGCACCTCTGACTTTCCTCTGCAAACGATTGCTCTTTTCTTTGGGAGCTTTCTACCTTAAGGGATGCTTTCCACCTGTTTTTCATTCCCAGCTCTCCATTTTTATATTCAAAGATCTGTGCCTGCAGAGGAACCATTGCTAATTCAGCTATAGAGAGGGGGCAGAGGCGGGTTGGGGCTGGAGTTGGGGCTCCGTGGTAGAGCGCTTGCCTAGCACGTGGGAGGCCCTGGGTTCAAGCCTCAGCACCACATAAATAAAGATGCCAGTGTCAGATATTTTGTCCAGTCGTCCCAGAGGACATCTGTCAGTGCTCCTCTTTCCTGCCCCCATCACCCTTGCGATGAATTAGCTGGGGAATGGACCTCCCCCAGCCATGTCATAGGATGCTGCGCTTTTTCTAAATATGTGCTTTCATCCCCGTCTGTGGTTGAAGGTTGGATGTTCCTAAGTTGATTGAGTTTACCGCCTTGAACATCAGAGCGTGAAATGTGTGAACTGGCTTTTCTGTTTGTGTCGTGGCGGAGTCACGTGAGAGATAAAAAGAGAAGAACCACTCTTTAGAGACAGTGAAAGGAGGAAAGTTCATTGGATTTGAATTCGACGTAGCAATAATAGAAAGCGTAACTGAAAACTTCAAGGAAAACGCAGGCTTGTATACGTCATAGGATTTCTTTTGGGTAAAATATTTGAATGTAAAACTTACTGAGGGTGTAAATAACCCCACAGTCTGTTTTCTTGTGAGTGTCCAACACTTTGGGATGGTAAGAGACATTGGATGTTCTAAGCATCTTTAATAGAGGATAGAAATCCCACTTCCAGTGAATCTGAAGTAGAACCGGAGTCCAGTTCAGTGGCAGAGTGTTTAGCAAGCATGTCTGAGGCCCCAGGTTCAATCCCTGACCCTGGGAAGAATGGCAGAAGAAATATGTATGTGGCCTGGGCTTGAAGCTCAGTGGTAGAGCACTTGCCTAGCACATGTGAGGCACTGAGTTCAATCCTCAGCACCACATTAAAATAAATAAATAAAATAAAGGTATCGTGTCCATCTACAACTAAAAAAAAAAAAAGAAGTATTTTTGTAAAAAACTATGTGTTTCCGTTTCCCTATTCTCATTATTCTTGCTGAGCTTCAAAGTCTGTCATTATAATGATTCTAAATTGCTATAGGATCCTCAGATGGACTGTATTAAGAAAATGACTATTTTCCTCATTTTCAGTGATATGTATTTCTTAATTTTCTAAGAATCAATGTATCATACTTAATTTTTTTTTTCCATACAGTGGATTGAACCCAGGGGCATTTAATCATGGAGCCACATCCCTAGTTCTCTTTTGTGTTTTATTTAGAGACAGGGTCTCACTGAGTTGCTCAGGGCCTCGCTAAGTTGCTGGAGGCTGGCTTTGAACTCACAATCCTCCTGCTTCAGCCTCCCGAGCTACTGGGATTACCGGCATGTGCCGCTGTGCCTGGCTATGACCTTTTTTTAATTGAAAAATACAGTGGATCTTAGTACAGTTGATGGTAGTTGGCTCTGAGAACATCGTCATCCGTCTTAGACAACTCACCTACAAAAGCAAACAGACAAAAGAGCAGGTCGGTGTTACCTGCAGCTGCCACCTGATGCCATGCCTGGGAGAGAACTTTCCCTGACCACGCCTGCCTCGTGTCACAAGTGGGCCTCCAGGCTTCTGCTCATCGAAGCTCTTGCTCTTTCTCTGCCTCCCATACCCAGCCTTTCAAGCCACCTCTCCCACTCACAGTCCCCACCCAGCACCCTGCAGAGCGTGTGAGACCCAGTGCCTCGCTGTTGCCTTTGTGCTCTGGAACTCTGGCTGCACCGTGGGGGAGTCCTTTACCCTCCCCTGAGAGACACACAGGCTGCAGACGAACCTTCCTTGGGTCCTTGGAGATATCCATCTGCATCAGAAATATCTGCAGAATTAGAATTCCTTTCTTACAAATCCTAAATTGTGGTGAGCACCCATCTGCTCTCCCACGTTAACGGATGGCAAGCGTGCGGGTCGGTGGCCATGACTCCATCCACACTGTTGTGCCTCCGTGACTGTCACCAGGGAACTGGGACTCTTATTTCCTACTCAGGGCCACGACCACAGCGGTGGTCAGGGAACCGTCCTGTTACGGTGATCCGTAGAAACGGATTTAGATTTACTCCAGCTGGTGGACGCCTGGTCTCTGGGGACCAGGGAACAGCATTTTAAAATGGCACCAAGGCCTTCCCTGGCCGAGTTAGCTAACCCACCTTTCCTCCTCCCCGCTTCTTTCCCAGCAGCTCCGAGCAGCGAGTCCCCTGTTCCACTTCTTACCACAGCTCTGGTTTGCACTCGAGTGACGGTGTCACAAAAGCAGGACCTATGGGCCTTCCGGAAATCAGACAAGTGCCAACTGTTGTGATTGAATGTGATGACAATAAAGAAAATGTGCCTCATGAATCGGACTATGAAGACTCTTCTTGCCTGTACACAAGAGAAGAGGAGGAGGAGGAGGAGGACGAAGAGGACGACAGCTCCCTCTACACCAGTACGTGCATCCGGGCCCTCCTCCAGGGGGCGGGCGGCCTGGTGCTGGGGACCTGGCCCAGATGCCCGAGGGTCCCGGGGTCCCGGGTCTGCTGTGAACTGACTCTGGTCATAGGGAGCCAAGTTCGCCTCTGGGAGCCTCGGGGCAGGTGGCCTCCAAGAGCCCGGGGAGCTCTGAATATGGCCACACCACTTAGATGGCTCCTAGGTGGCTCCTAGGTGGCTCCTAGATGGCTCTCTTGGTTGCACCCTTAGGATGCCACGCTTCCCTCAGAATGAAAGGGAGGGGCTTAAAAGTCTCTTCCCTCCTAGAAAAGACGCAGATACTCACCACTGGGGTTGCAGCAGATTTTTGTAGACACACCTCACCAACTTTAAAGTCCTGAATTTAAATTTGTCATTTAAGGCCTTTAAGTATAAGAGACGAGAAGAAATAGGAAAAGCCAAAAGTCTACCACTCTGGCCATGAATGGTAAATGTCAGTGATGTGAGTGCAATCTCTCACTTGGCCAACTTTATAATAAATGAGTTTGTGATAATAGCAAACATTTATGGAGTAAATACGGTGTGCCCGAAAACTTGCTAAGATTTGTATCCTCTTAGCAACACTTTACAACAGCTTTAGGTCATAGACACCATTTGCCCCTATTTTACAGATAAATAAATGAAGGCAGGAAGTGCCCACATCCTGGGATGGTATTCCAAAAATCCCTTGGAAACCAAACCCAGTGGAGGATGAAAGAAGAAAAGCATTACTAAATAAAATCCCAAAGAATCCACAAGCTTGTCAGTCAGGATGGTGCACACCTGTGATCCCAGTGACTTGGGAGGCTGAGGCAGGAGGATCACAGGTTTGAGGCCAGCCTTGGAAACCTAAGAGAGACTTGCTAGTATCTTCCTCTCGCTCTCTCATTAGCTAGCTTCATTTGAAACTCGGTAAGAGGCCTGGTGAGCTATGAAATGAGGCAAGTCATTTCACAGAGAGGAGCAGCCAAAGACCCCGCTGATGTATGACCGGAAGCAGCTGCTCGGCCTGTTTGCCTGGCGGTGTCCGGAGATGGGGAGGCTTTGCGCCAGGGTTTCTTAGCCTTGCCCTCCTGACTGTTGGGACCAGGTCGTGCTTTGTGGTGGAGGGTGGGCTGTGCTCTGCACTGAAGGACGGTTGGCGTCTTTCCTACTGCCACCCCAACTCTGTTCTAGACTTTACCAGATGTCCCCTGGGAAGAGAAATCACCCGGGGTCCAGAACCACAAATTCATCCCTGTTTTAAGGAAGCCCTGCCCTGGCTGCTAGGAGCCGAATGTTAAAAAGAAATAAACAGTGACAGCCTTGCTGTCCTCACCTCCACCCCGGCCCCCACAAGCCCCACATTGTCCCAGGCATCATGCTCCTTCACTGCCCCAGCTCCAGGGCAGTTGACCTCTTCTGCCCCCGGGAAGCTCCCGCCCTGCACGTCGCCCTGTGCCTGCCGCCTGGTGCAATCTCACTCCCCCCCTGGGGTCAGCACCTCCTCCGTGAACCTTGCTCTAGTTTCTTAAGGCCCTTGTCCCTTCTCCTCCTCGTTTCCGGAGGGCAGGGACTCCGTCTCAGGCTCCTGTGGCTCACCATGTCCAGCCACAGTGCTGGGCACAGGCGTGGTCATGGCAGGAATGCGGGGAACCGAGGCCTTCGCCCCCCAGGTGCTCAGCCCTTTGGGTGTTTCTTCCTGCCTGTGGCGGACCGCCCGCGAGGCCCATTGCTGGGCCCCTGGGCGCATGAACTGACCCGTTTTTCCCCCTGCAGGCTCCCTGGCCATGAAGGTCTGCAGGAAGGACTCCTTGGCCATCAAACTCAGCAACAGGCCCTCCAAGCGAGAACTGGAGGAAAAGAACATCCTGCCCCGGCAGACGGACGAGGAGAGGCTGGAGCTGAGGCAGCAGATCGGCACCAAGCTCACCAGGTAAGACAGCAGGACCCCGGCTACTCGGATGCTAGCAGAAGCTTATGGTCCCAGTCAGCAGCAGCCCAGTCCTCGTGCCCCTTAATAACTTCCTGCTTTAAAAAGCCCGTGGAAAGCTTCCCATGTTGTCCCCAGGGCGGCTTCTACTGTCCCTCTTCTTTACTCAGCCAGATTTTGGAAATGTCATAGGAGTGGGGTTTGCTTAAACACGAAGCCATCAGATCGGCCACTCTGCTGCGGTGCCACGTGGCTGGTGGTGATGCCTCCTTCATCCTCTGGACTCTCCTTCTGTTGAACTGAAATCCCCACGAGTGCCCCTCCGGTGGTCTTATTGTCTGACCACCTCACCTCTCCTCTCATGTCTCCAGAGGGCTCGGAGACCGTGGTCCTGGCCTCCCCGGTCTCTACTCCCAGGCTACATACAACCAGATCTTATTACTGGGAGTGGGGACAGGTGGGTAGTGTGGCTCTGGGCTGCCTCCTGACCCAGCTTATTCAAGTTTACACAAAATGCCAACAGAGCTCCCCTTGAGGGGCTCCGTGAAAGGGAAGGCACAGACCTTGATCCTAGCCACACCCCCCACGCTCAGCTCCACCTGCTGAGAGTGGGCATCCTGGATTATCACTTCTGCCCCGCGACTCCCATTTCCCTCCCTTTGCTGCAGTCCATGCAGAGCCCCAGGCATCTCAGAGGCAAATGGAGGGCTTCTCTGCAGTTAGAGTGGGATGCCAGCACATCTGGGTGCCCAGCACAGCTTCCTGGGTGGAGGGAGAGAGAGCAGGAGAGATGTGGGAGACGTGGCAGATGAGTGAGGTTGGCACATGCTTGTGCTCCGTCTGCGCTGCCAACTGGTGTTGACTGACAGAGTGGAAAGGGACATTGTTCCAGAGCATACTCCAAAGAGAGACAGCCCCTGGCCTCTCATGCCTGGACACGCACCACCACCATGACCTGGCAGGCACGGCCACCAAGGCGTCAGAGATAGAGACCATCCATGACCAGAAAACATTCTCTGTATTCAAGACTTTGACCCAGGAATCTCTCAACCCTCTCTCTTTTAAAGCAGAAAGACTCTTGGAATTCTTAAAATCCACTGAAGGTTTTCCTGTAGGAGGCCTCTGCTCCCAACCTTCTTTCTTTATGGTCAATAGCAAAAGACAAGCCGACTGGGAAGAGAGAGAGAGAGAGAGAGACCGAGGTGGAGGTGGAGGTGGAGAGGCAGCTTTGGGGTATTCAAAGCACTGAGTTGGCCCCCTTCTCTGAATCCATATCATCTATGTTCACTCTTTCAACCGAAGTCTCTTTTTTGTGGTGAGACTCTGACAGGGGCCGGGATTAAAGAAGTCCAAGTGTGTAGCAGATTGAGGTTGGTGGAGTTCAGTAAATCAGGCAAAGAGACCAAATCTCACCCCAAAGTCATGTTTGATTCACATCTAAAGAGTTTTATGGATGATCTCATTTAGAATGAGATCTCAGCTCCTGTGCTTCCAGAAGCTGACCCTCATCCCGAAACCAGGGCAGATTGAAGGGGAAGTGGGAGAGGCAAGGACCAGGGTGACCATGACAGGCAGAGCCATCCTAGTCTCAGCTCCTGTGCTTCCAGAAGCTGACCCTCATCCCGAAACCAGGGCAGATTGAAGGGGAAGTGAGAGAGCCAAGGACCAGGGTGACCATGACAGGCAGAGCCATCCTAGAATCAGCCGCTTGGCTTCTAGGAGCTATTGGCCCTCCTTGGGGCTTGCACTAGGTCATCTGAGCACCACGTGCAAAACATGGGTTTCATCATTGCAAAAGGGAACTCAAAGAATGTGGCAATCCGTTGTAGGGTTTGCATTTCTGAAGCAGCCAGGCTGCAGCATTCAATGACCTGTGAGGCAGCCGCCAAGTACCGGAAACCTTCAGCTCTTGGAAAAGCGCGTAGCCAAGTCTGCAAGTCCTCATGGAGTGAGCAAGATGGAAGCCACCATTTTAGCCTGACAGTTGTAATAGCATAAGAAAATAATAATAAAAAAAAAATAGCCTAGCATTCCACAAAGAATCCCAAGGTAGGAGGAGGGGACGGAAACACCAAGAAAAATGATGTCAGTTTTCGCAGAACCTTCTAGTGTTAAGACAGTTTCTACATAAAAATGCAAGAATTTTTGCTCTTCCAAAAATATCTGCTTGGTGTTGTTGGACGGATTCTCCTAAATCTCTACCGAGAGGTCACTTGGTTTTTTAATAACAGATAACTATTTCATACAGCCACTGTTGGGGAAGCGGGGACTGCAGTAGATATGAAGGTGACCAGGAGGGTGTGCACTGCTTCTGCCCCTTATGTATACACACTCCAGGACAGCACGGAGAACCCTGGGGTGAACAGGGCCGTCGGCTGCGGATGAGAGTCGTAGAATTTCTATTTAAGCTCATTCTGTGTCGTTCTTTATAAATCTGGTTCTCGTGTTGGTGTTGTTATGTGTGTGGCACGTCAGGCCGCAGGGCTTGTCTCTTTCTGATAAATGAAGAAGTGGCACGTGCTCACCTTTCTGCTGGTGGAGCTCTCCACACACTTTGCGTCTGCTGGTCTGAGGGTCACTTTTCACGGCCGGGAGAGCAGGGCTTTTCCCTCCAGTGACCTCTCGTCAGTGAAGTGCAGAGACCGCAGGACAGTTGGTCGCCCCAGCGTCGTGGTGTTGGCTGGGAGCCTAAGATCTGGGTGTTGGTGGGGTCCGTTGCTCCTGGAGACTGTGGGGGGGGGTCTGTCAACGCCCCTCTCCCAGCGTCGGCTGGTTTGCTGCGTATCCTTGTCCTGCCTGGCTCTGAATGTGCATCACTCCAGTCTCTGCCTTTGGTCCCATGTGGCATCTCTGGGTCCACGTGGCCCTCTTAATAAGGACCACCATCATGTCCTCCCTTTGACCTGGTGACCTCTGTAAAGACCCTGTCTCCACATTCTGTGGTACTGGGGTTTATGCTCTCAACATAGAATTTTGTGGGAGACAGACTCAACCTATCATTCTTGGATAAACATAAAGTGGGTCTACCAAGAAAAAGGACCATGTCCTCAAATGCTTATGGGGACCGACAGACATTGCACAAAAGTGAAGCAGGCAGTAAGAAGATGATCGATGATGAATGTGGGGAGCTGGGGTGAGATGAAAGCCCTCATGTAAAAGGAGCCATCACGACTCAGTTTCAACCCCCCACTATCGTTTTGAAGAAATGAAGGGCCGATTTGTCAGCTCTTCTGAGATATATCTCAATTTTTAAAATGAGAACTCCCATTTTAAAAACCATTATTGTTAACCAGCTTTCCATTGCTATAACAAAATGCCTGAGATAATAAACTTATAAAGAGGATAGGTTTATTTTGGCTCACAGTTCTGGAGGTTTCAGACTATGCTCTATTAACCCCATTGCCATCAGGCCTGTGCAAGGCAGCACATCATGGAAGGGAGCATGTGGTGAAGCAGAGCTGCTCATACCTCACGGCATCCAGGGAGCAAAAAGAGAGAGGAAGAGGAAAGACCCAAGTCCCACAATCTATTCTAAGTGTACATCCCCAGTGGACTCTCTCTTAAAAAGTTTCCACCTCCCCCGTGGACTGCAGACTAGGCTTTCACACCTGAGCCCCTGAGGATACTTACCCAAACCATAGCCACTAGAGAGATCAAACAGCTGAATTTAGCCCAAGGACCCCGGCTCAGCCCTGGGCCCCATGGTTTCAATCTCAGACCTGACAGCCGTGATTCATCCTACTGACAGGGTGTCCACGAAGTCCCTGTGAATGCACAGCAGCAATGTTCTGCACTTTAGACTGTCAATGGGAGCATGCCCATGTGTGTATCTGCAGCAATTTGGAATTAACTTCTGTAGGATCCAGTTTATTTTGAGAGTGCTTATTTGTGTGGCTTGACCCTGAGGAGTTGTGGCGGGTGGTTCTCAGAACAGGTGACGGCTGGGTTGGAGGAAGAGGTTGATGGGCATGGCCCCACGGCTCACCTCTCCTTGACTCTCAGGAGCCGGGGTGAATCGCCTGGCGGTGTTGATGTTGTGATCTTTACTGAAGCTCTGGAAAATCGCTGAGCCCCCAGCGGCGGATGGGATGTGGGTCCCTCCTTTAGAAAGTGCCACAACCTGCTTCTCTTCTTCCTGCTTATCATCACCACTGAAAAAGCTGCCTCAGTCTTTGTGTTTACACAAGGGGGTGAGATAGGGAAGTGGACAGGTCAGATCCTTCCCGTGAGACCTAGCCCGGACACCTTCTTTCATTTAGGACTTAATAGTAATTCTAGAAAGAAAAGAAGTATCCTAAATGTATATATTATGCCTCTAAGTAGTACACACCGTCATCACTCCAGTGCATAGAAAATAATATGTACAGAGGATCGTGTGCTGCTTTCAATCATAATGTACCATTCAGGGAGAAAATTGAAACCCATTTTTTATGCTCATAGCCCAGGCAATAAAATACGGTAACTCTGACTTCCAAATGTGGCTGGCGTCGTATTTATGGTTTGGGAAAATTGATGCTGTTCAGCCCGACCCGGCAGCACCTAGCTCCAAAGTGGCAATCAGCATGTCCCCCAGGAATCTCAGGACTGATGCGAAGTGAGAGCTGGCCCCTCCCTGCGCTAGATAATTTGTTCTGCAGAGAAAACACTTTCTAAAAATAGGAACACCAATCCAAGGCTCTGTGAGTTCAATTCAGCTTGGACTGACTGAGGGTCCCCGGGTACACATCACTGTGACTTCTCCACTTGGAGAGAGAAGGGAGGAAGGTAAGACTGGAGTGAAAGCTTTGGAGTATCTTCCGTGAACATTTGGTCCTTCCAGTTTTGTCCTCCATCGTCACCGTCATCGTGGTCATCGTTATTATCTTGGCTTGAAACGGGACACAGCTTAGAGAGGAAAGGAAAGAGGGCACTGGTAACTGCCTGGGTGGGAATGGCTCCGGTTGGGGGCACTTTTCCAGGGATTGTGACACCTCACATGAAACTGAAAGTAGGTACCAGTCACC